AGGCGATCTCAATTCTCCACCGATAAGGCGGGGAAAGAGAAGTTGCCGTGGCGAATCGCTCGGTAAACGAGATATTTCGACTCCATTAGACTTGGAATAAGTGGTGATAAGACTGAGGCTAGTCGATTATGAGAGATAATCTTAAGGTATTGTGGTGTACAGTGACGGACATAAATTCCCCCCCTTACAGCTACAGCTCTACCGGTAAAAGAAGGGAACACGTATATGTCTAATGAAGTTTCAAACAATTCGATGCACCCAATTTGGAGAAAAGTTTGTATAAATATTTTCACTCTTTGGTATGTACATACATATATGACACTTTCGTATCACCCCCTGGCTAATAAGAGCGCGTAAAGGCGCCGGACGTTTGGTCCAATATCCCCCGCACGGTCAGAGGAATTTCGCCCATATGTCGAAATGGCTCCCTGTTAAGGGTTAAGTCCGTCAAGGAAGTCCGTCACCGTAGTCCAGAAGAGAAAGAGGGACGGAGAGCACCCGTGAGTGTGGGAGCAAAAGCGATATCGTGCGCACCCACGTGCGCGTATACGCGTGTAATATATAAATCCGTGTACATACATATATATATCCACGTAACGTCGGCGCGCGGTCACGGCCACTCGGTCGCCGGAGCTCGGACGAAGCTCGAGATTGGGTACGAACAGAGGTTGAACACCAGCTCAAGCGTACACTGGGGATGGTACTTGAACCCAGAATTTTTTTTTTTTTTCAACCGATAAAGATAAGCCTTGACAGCTATGAACATTCAGAGCCTCCCAGAACCTTGAAAACGTTATGATCATTTTCGGAATTTATTTTTTTTTTTTAACTCTGGCTACTAAGAGCGTTTAAAGGCGCCCGACGTTTGGTCCAATATCCCCTGCACGGTCACACGAATTTCGCCCGTATGTCGAAACGGCTCCGGGTCCAAAGGGTTAAAAAGGTTAAAAGTCTTCCCCTTAGCTTGAGTCAATTTGAAAACCGCTTAGTAAATTCCAGAATGCAGATATTCGAGGCAACGCAAAAGAACATTTCTTAACGTCGAGGACTTTCTGGGTCAGCTGATCAACTCTAGACGCACCTATCGCGAATCCGTACGGCTCTCTCTCTCTCTCTCGAATGACTTTACATCGATTTAAATGTCTCGCCGTTTGCGTCGATCTGGCCGCATTCGGAATTAGGGTCCACGCGTGTCCGCGATATGCGAAAATAACGGAAATAACGTCATAGACGACGGCCTTCGGGTTCGGAATTCATGAGTTTTCCCACTAAGCCCTCAAAATGGTCCTGGACGGAAATTGCCCGAGGTCGAAAATATCGCTCCCGGTCGATATTTAAATCGACTTCGGAGTCTTTGTCCGCCGTTTTATTTGCACACCGAGGCGCTAACTTCGTTTTTCTCTTTTAAAGGGAAAGGCGGCCATGACGTGGGTTAGACGAAAAATCCGATCTCTCGAAGGACCGCCGTGGAAGGCAGAGACATCTTACGGCGACTTTCGCAAGCTCCTTAAACCGACCCACCCGCGTAACCTACTTTTCGGAATCTGGATTGAAACGCGAAGGAAAAAAATTAAAAGAATAAATAAATATAAAGGTCTGGAGATTAAAACAAGCCGAGAGAGAGAAACACGGCGAGGTGTCTCTCGAGGCAATATGCTTAAATGTTAATTACTCCTAAAAGCGCATTTATGAAATAAATAATGGTCCACAAGTGCCACGACCGACTCCAAGTATCCTTTAAACCCGTGTTTACTACCTCGTCGTACAACTTCTAGTACAACCACGTACTCCAACTTGCACCCGATCCCTCGTCGTTATCATGACATTCCACCAGAGAAATTCCTTCCCGCCCTTATCAGGAAACAAGTGACGCGATATCTCCTCTTTCTTCTTATGCATTTTCCATCCTGCAATTAAACGTCCACCTTGGCGATGCGTCTCAAAGAAATCAATATTAAATGTACCTTCCTTTTAGCCCAGTTCCCTGTTTCTAAATTAATCATTAACTCTCCCGAAAATAAAAACAGGTGACATCCGTCCGCCATCTTGCGGAGCTGCCGAAACTCCCGGGGCACGGCTTCGAAATTCTTATTTATTTTTCCCCTCGCTTCCGGGGCTTTTTGCGTCGCTCTGATGACGAGGAAAGGAAGGATAAAAAAGAACTGCCAGATTCGCGGAGGAAAGGGGACGCGAATAGTGTATATTCCTATATTAATCGTTAACCGAAAATAAAACAGGTGATGTCCGTCCGCCATCTTGCGGAGCTGCCGAAACTCCCGGGGCACGGCTTCGAAATTCTTATTTATTTTTCCCCTCGCTTCCGGGGCTTTTTGCGTCGCTCTGCCGGGGAGGAAAGGAAGGTAAGGATTCCCGAGGGGAAGGAAATAACAAAAAAAATTGCCGGATTCGCGGAGGAAAGGGGACGGGAATAGTGCATAAAACGAGGCCGATGTTTTCGCGGCGCGCAGTATGGCTTCGCGGTAGAGAATCGTGTGAAGCTATGTGCCGTGTAAACCAATGCCTCTCGCATACTTTCGATGCCATACCCCGGGGTCGTGCCATCCTAGCGTAGTGCTCCAGGGGTAGAGGAAGACCGCCGAACATTGATAAACGATTTCATACTTCCCCGACGACACCCCAGGCACGTGATAGATAAAGCCATTGCGCGTTAATTGCACACTTAACCTCTTTCCTAAGAACGGAATAATTCCTCGAGTGTACCCGTTTTAGCGTAATACACGTTCTCGTGTTAAGGTGATACGCAAAAGGACTCGTCTCATACATGTAACATTTTTTTCAAAATTAGCCGCGCCGAATTGCTTACAATATCACCTGAGAAATTTTTTTTTGTTTCTCTTATATATATTTGTTCTTAATTTCTTATTGAAAAATTCCAAAGGAAAAATCGCTCGATTTGTGACTGACCGCTTGGACGCGTACTTGGCGCGAAACTCTCAAAAAGGCTCAAACTCGACAAATCGTCGAGTCTGCGCAGTTTGGGTTAAGGAGCAACAAAACGTCTATTGACTCACCGGAATATTCTTTTCTCCGTGCGGTTCGTCGGCGTCCCTGAAGAGGTTAAAGGCCCGGCATCGAGTTTCGCGCGAGTAGCGACTCTCTGCTCGCTAAAGATACACTTTTTACGGAGTAACTCGAAAATACCTCGAGGTTGGCTCTTCGGCAGAGGAGGGGCTCGATGCAATTTGAAATTTCCCCCGAGCCGGCTTCGTACGATTCCTCGAAGTCGGGCAGAAACGGAGGAAAGGAAAAAAGCCAGACTTGCCGGAAGCCGGGCATTTAAAAGCTAGCCGAGAGTCGCGTGACGTCACCCGGCGCTTCTCCGCCAGACGGCCGAACGCCGCGAGACCGCGAGAGCGAGAGAGACGAAGCGACCCGAGGAGCGCCGAGTGCGAGAGAGACGAGAATACCTCCGTTCACCGGAATAGTTAGAAACTACCCAATCCACCCTAGAGTTCTAAACTAAATTCCCGGTAACTTATCGGTCATTTCTCCAAAGCTTCTTTAATCAAAAGAAATCATAAGGATTTAAACTCGAACGTAATAAAACTACAAGACTTAGAGAAAATTCATACTTTCGCTTGAAATTCGTTCTCATAGATTCTCGATACTCCCGGTAACTTACGATACGTTCCTCGGTTATCTTCCCCTATTTTACGTTACCGAGAACTTTCGAACTCTAGTCCGCATCGGGCAGACCGGTCGAAACGACATCGAGAGCATTTCCTGTCCACTTCGGTCTTATCCATCTTGGATTTATTGCCGGTCCCTTCTCTCTTTCCGTTTCTCATTTTTTTTCTAGCTCCTTCTATAATCTGTTTTTCCGCTGATTTATTACAGAATCGCTCTCGATGTATCCCCGTTCCGGTCGTGGGTGAATAGTTGGTCATTTCTTTTTACCCAGCACTTCGGCCCGCAGTTGAAAGCCAAAGGGCCGCGTCTATTCGTTTCGGGAGTCCGCCGGTTCGGCCGTGAGCGCTTCCAGGAACCTCGAGAGCCGAGCGCGCCCGAACTTACCCGAGCCCGCGTTCGGCCGGGGTCGAGAGATCCACGATAGGGGCCCGCCGCGTCAGGTTGGGTCCTCCCGGCCCTTTAACTCACCCGCATGCGCCGACACTCGGGCTGGTTCTGCCAGCACGGTCACCTATGCGGGCCAAGCGACCCCCGCCCCCGCCCGACCGCGAGTCACGTGACCGACCGACCACGTGACCGACCACGTGATCACCCCTGACAACCGTTGGCGTCATACTTTTTGGAAACGGGAACTCCATTCAGGAAATTATGGATTTTAATCCTCGAGATATCACACGTGGAAATGCACACGCCGAAGTAATGTTACTTCCATTCATTTATACCATTAACGAAAAGAACCGTCACAGGTGGCGCCTCGAATGTTTTGAATTCCAACTCCTCCGTGAGACCTCCCTTTTGGTTATCGCGACCCGTGAGAAAAAAAAAACAAAATAAAAATGCGAGAGAATAAATGCACACCGGGCGACGGCTCGCAGCGATAGCGAGCAAAAGAGGGCATAACACGACATACGGCGCCGGCGCCGGGTCATTATCGTCACGTATATTTACAGGCTTGTGGCGTGTGTTACTTGCGTTACGTGCACGCATTACGTAAACGCACGACGAGGTGAAGCGTCGGAGCCGCTAACGAGAATTTCCCAGGTAATCACGATTTTCGATGCCATTTATACCCTCCCTCGTATCACCAAAATTCTGCCCCTTCCTCATTTTAGCTCAATGTTCATTATTACCGAATACACCCAACCCAACGCGAGCCCAAAAATACTTAACATGAAACAAAGTTAAATACAACGTCTCAATGTTTGTACGCGTGTGGATGGCGATATTTACCTCCCGTATAGCTGATAAACAATTGCAGCCTCTGTAGCTGGTATTGAGCAATGCAATGGAAACGGGAACGTGGAGCAACGTCATATTTAACTTGCATCTGTGATATTAAATCTTGTTACTTGTTATGCATTGACTGCGGTACTCGTGGGCATCTCTCTCTGATGATGATTCGCTCCTTCCTCTTCGGCGAGTCTTCGACAGCTTCTCCTGGACGGTCGTCTCCTCGATCCTCTTCCTCTGGTGTCACTTCCAAATCCCAGGTCGTCCGTGATGTCTCCGACGCCATTGACCATTTGCGACTGGCCCGACATAACTCGACCGCCCTTCACCGCTCCATATCCTTGTCCCTAGAAATATCCCGATAAGTAAACACTAATTGAAGTGAGCCTCTTCGCGGAATGCCCAGGTCTCCTGGTTTTCCAGAAAAGCCAACAATTACCGAGCCCGAAGTAAACACATCGAGAGCGACGTGTTTACTTCATGAGTTCCCCTTTTATCGAGGCGGCGGAAGTCATTATTTCTGCCTTCCTAATTCCCGAATGAATTTATGGTCCGACCTAAGATAGGGCCCGGTGGAGTGGACTACATTTTCTCATTGACTATTTTTTTTTCCCCCATTTTTTATCCCTTTCCAGGGCACGCGGTCCGAACTTCCCTCTATCGACCTCCCCCTTATCAAGGAAGAACGGAAGCTGTTATCCCGTGATAAGCGTTCTCTGACGAATCTGGGCGCGATAGAGGTTAAAAGGACCGTCAAGGTGTGACAGCTCGTCGATGGGAAAAATTGACCCTTCGAGCGCTAAGCACTTCCGACATACGGGCGAATTTCCTTAGACCGTGCGCGCGATATTGGGCCAAACGTCGGACGCACATATGCCTCGATACCGCTCAAAGGGTTAAGGTGATACGAAAGCGCAATTCTATATACATAGTACAATTACATATATGTATATTAAACGTCAAAATATTAATGAAACATATCTCCAATTTGAGACTTCCTTACGTGATTACGAAGGCCCTATGCAGGACAATTAATTCCCGCGGCGTGCCCCGTTTTTACCCGCGGTAAGGCCCAAAAGCGGAAGTTTCAAATGCCAAGGAAAAGGAACGCGGCCGGTTACCAGATCGAGGAGTCGAAAGCGCCGAAATCGAGCTCACGGGTCCTCGAAAACGAGATTCCAAAGAGGACGTAAGTCTGCATCCCAAGCAGCCGGAGGAAAAAGCCATCGGGGCCCCTCCGGGTCTGAGGGGCCCGTTTGGGCCCGATTCGGCCTATCCGAGTACAGCACGGCATTCCCTCTCGTCTTAAGTCCCCCCCCCCGGGGCCCTTATCCCCCCTCCAGAGAAAAATCCTCGCAAGAGAACCGCCGACATTCCTCGGCAAATTGGAGCGCCGAGCGGTCGCTTATTGGTTTATCAATGAGTTTCCATCGGCGATCCTCGAGAGCGCCACCGACGCCGATAGGGCCCCGATAAGGCCCCGATAAGGCCCGACGTGGAGACGACCTTACACCCTCCAGGGATGGGAACTTCGACGCCTTCTTCGACGCATAAATATGGGGATCCAAGAGACCGTCGGAAATAAGGAAAACCGATATTCACGTGATCGGCTCTAAGATAGGTATATAAGGTATAAATATACATACAGTATGGAGATTTGGTAGGTCCTCTATTTTTTAGTCGGCCGGGAGCCTTGATCGATTGGTCGATCTTCACAAAGGAGGGCGTATATTAATGGGTCTGGAATCCTGCATCCTTGGGCCAGGATCTTCGTTCACGCAGTCCCGAAATAAGAGAAAGGAGTGCGTCCATTGACGAGGAGGTCCCGGCACCTGTCGGCCGCTTTACGGCCAGAGCCGGGACAAAGCGCAGGTCGTGCCCGATCCCGAAGGAGCAGGTTCTTTTCGCGGAGGACCCAAAGTCGGGCCCAAAGCCGAACCCCCGGGAAGCCTTCCCCTGCGAGGATCTCCTCTTCCTTAGTGACAAGGACTCCACGGAAATGAGAAACCTCCCGAAGGAAAGATCTCGAGTAGGGCCCAAAATCGGACCCAAAGCCGAACCCCCAGGAAGCCTTCCCCTGCGAGGATCTCCTCTTCCTTAGTGACAAGGACTCCACGGAAATGAGAAACCTCCCGAAGGAAAGATCTCGAGTAGGGCCCAAAATCGGGCCCAAAGATCCACAAGAGGCCTCATCGCGACTCTTTCTTAGCGCCCTGGACATGAAACCCGCCAAGGAACATGTAAACACCCGAAGTACCTCGAGCGGGTTTCGCCTCCGTCGAAGGATAAGGCCCAGAATCGGAGAGGCCCCTCCGAGAGGACGTCGAGCTGGGCTCGCCAAGGAATTCGCTGGGCGAATTCCAAGGGCCGCCCAGGGCAGGGACGCGGTCCTGTTATTTTGGGCCCTCCGGAGGGGCCCTTCCTCGGGGGAGGGAGCATCCCGCTGCGCTTAGACCCGCCGCGGAGAGGTACATACCTGCTGGGATTTCGCCATAAGTGCCCAGAGCCCTCGGGATTGTGTTACGTTATGGCCATTATGCGCCCCGAGATCTCGTCGGGTAACCGAAGACGAGGATCGACGACGTCGACGGCGACGCTCGTCGGGACTGCTTCAAATTCGACGAGATACTAAATCCCACCTATACCTCAGCGTTAACAGGACATCGTCTTGGAAGTCGAGGTCTAACCAGGTTCTACCTCGACCTCGACTCTTGACGGGGGTGTCCTACCTAGGGACAAAGATCCTAGGACTCCCTGGTCGGTTTTCCACTAGGGGATCCCCGCGAACTTGTCGCGGTCCAGAATCGACGGAGACATCCTCGGGGAGTTTCGGCCGACCCTGGGAACCTCGTTCGGATGTTGGCCCGGGTACGAGCGAGGACAGGAACGAGGAGACGGTTCCCACCGTCGGGACTTAAGGATCCACGCTCGTCCCCGCATGACCAAATACAGAGAGGATCGCCCTCCGAGGAAAGAGTGCAGCGGCCTGCAGCTCGCGGTTTTTTGCCGCACCGGACCTCGGAGTCCGACTCGACGAAGGCCAACGGCGATGCTTCCAGTCGTTTACCGACTCGTCCTGGTAGCAGAACCCCATTCGATCGGCCTAGAAACCGAATATATATATATATATATATCATATCATATCATATCGTCATGTATATATGACGCTTTCGTATCACCTTAAGTGTTATCAATATTTTGACGTTTTGGTATATACATGTATGATGCTTTCATATCACATTAAGTTTTATCAACAATTTGACGTTTTGGTGTATATATGTATATATATATGAGGCTTTCATATCACCTTGAGTTTTATCAACATTTTGACGTTTTAGTATATATATGTATGACGCTTTCATATCACATTAAGTTTTATCAACATTTTGACGTTTTGGTGTATATATGTAAGACGCTTTCATATCACATTAAGTTTTATCAACATTTTGACGTTTTAGTATATATATGTATGACGCTTTCATATCACATTAAGTTTTATCAACATTTTGACGTTTTGGTGTATATATGTATATATATGAGGCTTTCATATCACCTTAAGAGGTCCTTGTCGAGAAGTGGACGAAGGAGAGCTCGGAAGAAAGGGGAATCGTTGGACCAAGGTGGAGCTTCGCGTGGCTAGGACTTCTACCCGCGCAAGTCGAGTGCACCTACCCGTGAGGACTTAATTGGAAGGAACGCACCTTCATCGGGCCGATCCAATCTGCAGGATGTTCCTGGCCGGTGATCCTCGGTCTTGCGGACCGCGACGCCAAGGTCCGACGAGCTTGCACTTGATGCTCCGCTAAATCCTGGATTCACGTCAAGGATGGTTCAGGTTAACCCACGTTCGGGCGTTAAGGATGTCTCATGACCAGCCCCGTTGAACCTGGGGGAGAAGGAACGGTATTACAGGAAGAAACGTTAAGAAAAAGTGGAGAAGACGGTTTGCACCTCGCCAGGACTAGTCCCAGGAAATTCCGGGAGATTTTAACCCGTACCCCAGGTGGCAAAAAATTGGTAAAATGGCATTACGGATTTGTAAGAAGAAGGAGATTAGCAGAAGGACCTTCGGGAAGATTCAGGCTCGGGCAAAGGACTCGTAAGGACCGGCTCCATTAGACTCGGGATGTTTCCAGCCTGGGGAATCCGCTCTGGAACCAGATCCCATCCCGAAGGACCCACCAGGATCAGATACGTGGGCAAACAGGGTTAGTTGTCTAAATCCAGAAAGTTATGGGACGCAGGAGGCGGTTGCATTCGGCTCGCAGACTCTGGAGTCCTGAAGGACCAGGCTCGAGGATCCTGCCCCAGGACCCTCGGCTCAAATCCTGGGAAGGGCCGGATGCCTTCCCCGATTTTCCGGGAATCTCTCTCTTTCTCTAAACCGAAAACAGCTGTTGGGCCCAGGGGGTTCCCAGTTTTTCGGGGAAACCTGTTGGGCCCGGGATTTGTTAATACGGCTCTCTTCCTGCCGCGAAAGGACCCCGAGACGCCAGCATGGCGCCAAGGTCCTTGCTTCAGGACCTCCCTTACCCGTCCACCGTGGTAATTAAAAAAAATTCCATCCTCCCAATTTGCAAGAGAATTTAATAAACAATTGACGGTCCTTCGGGTGCGACTATCGGTCTAATTGGGAAAGTGCACTTGCATATCCACTTGCACTTGCACTTGCATTTCCAAGGTATCGACGGAGGAATTGGAAGTGGAAACGCGGTTCCAGGAAGAGGCAGGTTGCCGGGGAAGCAAGTGGGCCTTTTTTCGGCCCCCTGGCCCCCGCGGGGTAGGGGGCCGAAATCCTAGAGGCGGCCTCCACCTTTTCGAGGAACCCCGGAGGATAATCGGCACAAAGAGGGCCCAGGGCCTTCCGCCAGGACGCGAGGACGAGGCCCCGGACTCCATTGAGGAAATCCGACCGCGAAATCTTGTGTTACCGCCCCGACGCGACGGCTTCGCGCTGCCCTCTTTGTCCGGCACCCTGTGGGAAATCTCGCAGCGGAGGAACCGTTCTCGGAACCGTTCCGGGCCCGCAAAGTGCGGAGGAGCAAACCGCCGCATAAGAGGTTTCGCTTAAAAAACCTCGCCAAATGTATTCCTCTTTCCTTTTTCGATGACAGTAGTTGAAATTGCATTTTTTTTTTTCATAAAAAATGGAAAATCGACGTTTCGTCCCCGGGTCGGTGGAGAGGATTTAGTTGCGGGCGGTTTGCGGGGAGGATCCGCGGGACGTGCGAAGGACATGCGGGCTCCCCGGCACGGAACGAGCGCGAGCGTTCCGCGTCGGGACGAAGACGATTGCTCCGTTAGTTAAACATTAATTAGTCCCAAACGGCGCGGCGGTCCAATTTGGCCAATGACCTCGCTAACCATACGGCCGCGGCGAACTCGTGGCGGATTCCCCGCACTCGTCCCGGCGACGAATGTAGACACGTTCCGAGCTTAAAATCGTTATAAACTCCAAACGACCCTCGAGGAGTCCCATTCGAGTCGGGGGAAGTTTCTACGGAGAAACCGCATGCGGCGAACTCGTTGCGGATTGGCGAGGATCCCATGGGATCCGAATTAAGGATGTCGAAGCGGAAAAGATCGCCATTAAAGTCTCTGTACATACGAAACGACCCTCTCGAGGAGTCCCTCTTGGGGAGTTTCGGCGGCGGAACCGCGCCCGGTCGGCCGCGACCTCCTCCGCAGTCCGAGTCAACGAACCCTCTCCCCGTTTCCGCCGCGCTTCGATTCGGAGCTCGGTCAATTAGCGAGCGGGCGCGACGATTGCGCGCGACGCGGCCCGAAGGTAGCCGAGGTGGGCCGAGCGGTCCCGAGGGGTCCCGAGGAGTCCCGAGCGGCCCCGAGAAGTGGGTCGGGTCGGAGCCGAGCTCGCGGGACACCGGGGTCGGGGCGCGCCGGATTCGGGGGGCGGGAAGCGGCCGCGGCCGAGGTCAAGGGGCTGCTCCTCCTCTCCTTATCGGGCCGAGGTCGACCCGGCGCCTTATCGGGCCCGAAGGGACCGGCGCCGGTCGTCGACCCTTACCCGGCTCTCCATCGCGAACCCTTGCGACGTGGACGGGACTCTCCGAAATTCCCGAAAAAAATCCCCCCGTGACGTCACGTGATATCTCTAAACGAGACCTCTCCACTGAAAGAAAATAATCCACCTAGAAGCCTGATATTTAAACAGGGTAAGTCGAAAGAATATTTTACCACAAGCGTCAAATTAGTCCTTAATAATAATGCCGTGTTTACGAGTACGCTAAAACACGTATATAACCAAGCGGATGCATATACAGATGCATCTACGGTATCCGCCATTTTGGAAACGTAATTTGTCGATTTTCTAAGATTTTCTCCGGTGAACCGCGTGCGTAATGTACATCGAGAGCCTCGAAAGATACAAAAAATTACTCAACCCTGTTATCAATGCATAGGCTCGCTTCTAATCGCCATTTTGTGCGGTATCAGCTATCCAGTTCGTACAGAGATGAGTGCGCCCTCGCCTCGCGTCTCGCTAGACGGAGTCGCGGCCGCCGAGCGGAACGAGGAGACTTCCTCCGAGGGGCTCAGGGCGCTTCACGGTCCGCCGACGTTAAATACGAGAGAACGTAATTCCGCCTCGCTCCCCGAGCATTTAAAATCCCCCGAGAGTATTTCCCGCCAATCTTTACTACATCTCCGTGCCCCGTACGCGACTCGCGCCCTCGGCGGAAGGACGTGCGCGCGCACCCGAGGAAGCCGTCGTACCGGAAATGCCCCCGTCAATGTGTCTCCACCCACGAGGCTTAAATGCGCGATACTTCCCCCGAGATTCTTACGAGGTGCTTCCATCGACGAAACGTTAACCCTTTGGCTACCAAGAGCGCCTAAAGGCGCCCGACGTTTGGTCCAATATCCCTTGCACGGTCATAGGAATTTCGCCCATATGTGGGTACGAGCTTTAACCCTTGGGCTACTTCCACGTGGAAGGGAGAATCGGATCGTCGGAAGGTAACGCGAGTGGGCGCGAGTGCGCCGGGACGTGCGTACGCGATCGGACAGTGCGTACGCACTATCTACGTGCGCGCACGTCGCCGCCGTAAATAACGAGCGCCGCCCTAACCTGCGCGGCTGCGGTTGCGCGACGCGACAGGACGCAAAGATGATACGAATGACCCTTTCGCACCACTTTAACGGCAAATTTATCATCTATATATATTCGGTTCACTGGAGGAAATATCACTTTTATCCAACCCACCTTCAGTATCTTAGTCTCCAAGGTCGAGAGGGTCCGTTGAAAATTGAAATCGCACGCCGCTTTCGCGAAAGTTCCCATGGTAATTAGGACCGAGCGCTGCGTCGGCGGACGGAGCCGAGGATAGCCGAGGGCGGCCGAGGACGGGCGAGACGGGCCGAGTCCGGCCGAACGCGCGAGGGAGCCCGGCGCGAGACTAGCGCCGTCTGTAGCCGACTCCATTGTACACGAGGCGGCTCTCGCCTCTCCTCGTGGCGCGTCGCGTTATTTAAATCGGCCCACAAAAGCTATATCTCCCACCTCGCGCGAAGTAAACCCGACAAAGCAACCCGTAAACTCGGTCCATAGGTCATAAAACGACGAGACCGACCTCGCCGAGCCGGCGGAGAAAATAAGAAAAACTCCACCACTCGGAGGAGGTAAACGAGAGGATTTCCCTGGATTTCGCGCGGGTATCCGTTCCACTGGAAGCATTGGAAGGTGCCGAAGCCGCCGCCATAACCCTTAGGTTCACGTAACGATTGCAGGAGGCCGGTAAAAATCGGAGGAAAAACCTGGAGGGAGGGAGAGACCGTTGAGCGAGTACGAGCGAGTACGACCCTGGCCGCGAACGTTGGTCGGCGCGGGGTGGGGAGGGGAGGAGTGGGGGAAGCCGCCGGGCGGCCAGCCGGCCGGCTCGCCGCGCGGCCTGCGGGCTCATTCTGACCTGGTAAGTCGCCAGAGTCGGATCGCGGTGGGACAGTGCGAGAGTGGCCGCGCCGGACCTTCGTTTAAAGGGACTCCTCTCTCCGCGGCTCTCCGCTCGAGCCCGCCCCGGTCCTCGAGGAGTCCGACCCGGTGGTGTCGTGCGCGGGGAAGGGGCCGCGACCACGTGCACAGTCCGGGCCGCTGCGCGAACAAAGGGCCGCGGCGCCGGGCCGAGTCGAGCGCGCGGCCCGACCTCTGGCGGCCGCCGAGCGAAGCCGCGCCCGAGATGGACCTGCTCTGCTGCGAGAGCGCCGAGACCGAGTGCCGGGCTTACGACGACCCGGCCCTCCTGGGGGACGACCGCGTCCTCCGGAACCTTCTACAGACCGAGGAGCGGTACGCGCCCAGCAGCTCCTACTTCGAGTGCGTCCAGAGGGACATCTCACCGCTCATGCGCAAGACCGTCGCCGAGTGGATGCTCGAGGTGAGCTTCGCTTCCGGAACACGTGGCCGCACCCCGAGGAGCCCCTCCGACGTGGCTTAACGCGATGCGATAGAATAATATTCTCTCTTCTCCCGTATAAATACCTTTTTTCATTTCCGGAATGCAATTTAACGAGCCTCGGGTTATTCCTTAGGGCCTATGTAATTACCGGCTAAAGTCTCTAATTATTCGGGGACCCTGTTTCGAGACTAGTTTTATAAACGTTTTGATGTTTTGATATATACCGCAGTATATGGATATGTGTGTATGGATAGAACCTCACGATGTATCGTCTCGTGAGAGACTACCTTTATGCTGGGCGAGAGCCGCATGGATTTTAGGGGGTAATTATGACTGTTTAGGAATCGATTGGGACTTTCGTGGGAGTGGGAGGGCACTTTATATGGATGGAATGATACTTTTATATCGGATTAAATGCCGCGGAGAATAACGCCGCTTCCGGGAATCCTCTCCTACGAGGTGTGCCGTTTCATCCCGCGGGCTCTAATTCGATGCCGGGGATATTCCGTTTTGCTGGGGCCGCGTAATCCTAACGCCGGAGACGGCTTCGGCTCGAGTCGACGCGTCCGCCTCGGTTTTCCGGATCGCGGATTCCGGACCTTCGGGTGAATGCCAAACTCGTCGGTTGATTTCACTCACTCGAGATATTGGAATTTTAAACGCGAGGGAATAGTTTTTCTTGAGATAATAAACTCTGGGAAACGGTCGAATCGCGTCTGAGTGAATTCTGGTTAAATCTTAAACCTGGTTAAATTACAAACTCGTCGGTTAACATCGCCGACTCGCGATATTTGAATTTTAAACGCGAGGGAATAATTTTTGTCAAGGTACTAAACTTTAGGAAACGGCCGGTTTGGATTTTCGCGAATTTTGGAAGTCGCGCAAAACCCTGGGTTAAATCTTAAACCTGGTTAAATTACAAACTCGTCGGTTAACATCGCCGACTCGCGATATTGGAATTTAGAACGCGAGTCAATACTTCTCTATTAAAATACATGACTTCAGGAAACGAATCGTATCCTTCGAAATTCTCGATCCGTATTTTTTTTTTTTTCGTGCAATAAATAGGGAACGTAAATTCGACCGTTTAGATCTTTCGGTTTGACAGTTTAGATTACTTGACATCAAGTTTTTCCACGGTAGGCCGATCAGCTGTTCGCTGATTTCTTTTGTCGCTTCCAAGGAAGGTGCTCAATTTGACAGGACGAAGCATCGATCTCGATATGACATTTGATCACGTGACATTTTTTTTTTTTCTCTCCATTCGACGTAAACAAGAAGCGTACATCCCACCGATACGAACATTTAGCTCGATAATTCGGAATGCTCGGTCCTGGAAAATTCCAGCAGCGATTTTCTCATTATTTTCATTTTTTTTTTCCCGATTAAACGAGGATTAGGAACTCTAGTGACGATTAGTCTAGAAATCGGACCGTCGAGCCGCGTTTTCAATGGCGACTTTCGCGATATTGTAAGGAGCGCTCGACTTATCGATACCTTCGGCTCGATACTTTACTTTTCAAAGAATGTCCTGCCAGCGATTCGCACATTTTTCTCACGACTAAACGAGGAATGCGAAATCCAGGGTCGGACGTTCGATTAGTTCGGGGCGCAGGAAGAACGTCAAGCCGCGTTTGCAACGGCGACGAAACCGGCGTGACCGGTAACTCGTAAGCGACTTTCGCGACAATGTAAAGAACGCTTGACTTATTTAAATGTTTCCCTCGATAGTGTAAAGAGAACTCAATCTTAGAGGGCGAATCGTTTGGATGTTCGATTTTAGCTCCTTAGCGGTAAAAGACGGTTAAGTCGCGTTTACAACGGCGACAAAACTGAGGTAGCCGGTAATTCATATATGACTTTCGCGTCAATGTGAGGAGGAATTGACTTTTTAAATTTTTGGCTCGATACTTTTCGCTTAAAAAAATGTCCTGCCAGGAATTCTCTGATTTTTCACACGGCTAAGCGAGGAATGCGAACTCGGATGTTCGATTAGTTATTCCAGAGCGCTAAAAGGCGGTTAAGCCACGTTTGCAACGGCGGCCCGACCGGCGTGACTGGTAATTCGTAAGCGACCTTCGCGACTAAGTGAGGAACGTGAATTCGACCGGTTGGAGCGTTTGATTCGTCGACTTAGAATACTTGCTCTCGGAAGGCGGTCAAGCCACGTTTGCATTTGGTCCAATATCGCCTGCACGGTCAAAGGAATTTCGCCCTTATGTCGAAATGCCTCCGTGTTCAACGGGTTAAATCCCTTAATATTCACCTCGAATCCGTCTTTTATTACCGAGTTCACTTTGAATTCGCTTCGAGTTCTCCTTTAACCTTTTGCCGTACAAATTAACTCTCTTTGGCTACTAAGAGCGCCTATAGGCGCCCGACGTTTGGTCCAATATCCTCTGCACGGTCAAAGGAATTTCGCCCGTATGTCGAAACGCCTCCGTGTTCAAAGGGTTAAAACGCGGTCAGACCGACGTCGGCCCGACCGGATAAGCTCCAAGGACTCTCGCCCGAGCATAAAACGAGTCGGTTCCATTTAACTCCTTTTATCGTGGCGATTCGTCCTATCGGGTACAATTCACGTCCGAGATTCCCATGGGCATATTTCCCGATGTAGTCCCGGGTCCCATGGGTTTTGAACCCCAAGGTCGACCACGGTTTCCGGTTCACACGGTCGGGTACATCGCTTTCTCCAGATATACTTTACGCGACCCCATGTAAAAAAAGGTCCTTATGGCCTGGGAGGAATCCTTGAAAACAACGGGGAACCAGAAACGAGATGGTTTGGGTTTTAAGGTGATATGAAAGTGGCATATATATATATTTTTTTTTCTCCCACAAAAATATATATTAAAAATATTTATATATTTTCTTTTTACAAAAAACCTGATTTTCCTCCCGGTCCAGGCTAAATGAAAAATATATTTCCGTTTAAAAAGTGAAATTTCACGAGCATCGCGTTCCTCGTTGGGGCCTCCGTTATCACGTGTCAAAGTTTCCGATAATTCGGTGCGCCCGGTTTGGAGGATAATCCTTATCAATATTTTGACGTTTCTATGCAGAGAATGACGCTCTCTTATCACCTTAAGGACACGTGGCCTTGACTTGATTTCTTCATCCGGCCGTTTCAGGTGTGCGAGGTCCAGAAGTGCCAGGAGGAGGTCTTCCCGCTCTCGATGAACTACGTCGACAGGTTCCTGTCCATATGCCCGATCCGGAAGTCGCAGCTGCAGCTGCTGGGAACCGCCTGCCTTCTGCTGGCCTCCAAGCTCAGGGAACCCAGGCCCCTCTCGGCTGAGGTCCTCGTCTTCTACACGGACAACTCCATCACCCTCGACGACCTGTGGGTGCGTGGCGACTCATTTGATTCTCCCTTTAGTTTTAGAAAATATTTTTTGTATCTCCTTTAACGAAATTTCCTCACTCCCGGCGCGGTGATTTAAATGAATCCTCGTAAGCCCGCGTTGCGGAAAAAAAAAACCGCGTCCCTGACGACGAGGGGTTAAGGTGGGACGAAAGTAGCGTCAGAAGAGTTTGATGCTTTTCTCCAAACTGGGTGCACCAAATGTTTCTTTTAATTTTTTTTTTTTTTTTTCTTTAATGAAATTTCCTCACTCCTGACGCGGCGATTTAAATGAATCCTCGAAAGCCCGCGTTGCGGAAAAAAAACCGCGTCCCTGACGACGAGGGGTTAAGGTGGGACGAAAGTAGCGTCAGAAGAGTTCGACGCTTTTCTCCAAACTGGGGGCACCGATTGTTTCTTTTTTTTTAATTTTACTGCGGGAATATGGAGGTTTTAAGAGAGGTCTCGAGCCCCGTGGTATTTCATTCTTTAAGTACCTTTCATAAATAATTTTTAATTATTTATGGTTGAATAAAAGAAAAATGGAAATTAATGGATGGGTCGAAGTTTCGGACGGTTCGATTCGACGCCCTTAAGAGAAAGTGTCTCCTTCGAGGGGCGTTTTTCTACTTCATCTTAAGGGCATTTAACTCACTTCGATATATAAGAAATATTGATATAATGAAAAATATTTCTCTGGCATCTCGGGTTACTTTGGACGACCCGTAGGCATCCTGAGAGGATACACTTCGTGTTTGCATACGCATAATGCCGTGAGGAATTTCTACGGGGTGTCGCCCCGTCCCTTGGAGTAGGTAAAAAACGGAGTCGAGGTGGATTCCAGGCAGCCGTGAATTTGAGAGAACGCCGAGGCCGGGCCTCGGGCAAATAGCCGGCGATAGCCCGAGCAAGCCTAAATAGATAACAGCTGATACGCGGGGGAGCGTTATTCAATGTATCTCGCGTGGCCGCCGGCAGCCGATTGGGAACGTTAAGAGACCAATTTCTTTCTACTCGAGGAGAGAGAGAGAGACGGCCTTTCCTTTTCTCTTTCTCGCCATCTCTCCTTTCGAAGCTTCGACCGAGCCAGATTGCTCTTACGTTTGCTATTGCCCCCGGAAACGCGAAACTAGGGAAGACTGCAGTTCGCTACGAGGAGTAAACCCTTAGGTCTCGAAGTACCCCTATTGACACGGGGTCGTCTCGACATACGGGCGAAATTCCTATGACCGTGCAGGGGATATTGGACCAAACGTCGGGCGTCTTTAGGCGCTCTTAGCCAAAGGGTTGTACCCACCGCCCTGCCACGATAAAAGTCATAATAGAAGTTAATTAGAAAGATCGATCGTTTAAGATGATACGAAAGACGCTAAGAAATTTAATTCATTAACCCTTCGAACGCGAAGCCGTTACGACGTATGGGCGAAATTCCTCTGACCGTGCAGGGGATATTGGACCAAACGTAGCCAAAGGGTGTTTTATCCAATTATATATTTTTTTGTTGGTCGGCACGTATGTTTCGTATCAAATGTATATATATTTTTGAATTTGCTCAATTTCCCGCGAGCGAAGCGTCTAACGACCGGGCCTAACTAGAGAAAGTCTCGTATCAAGGCCTCCGGGGCCCAAAAGCGGCCTTAGAGGCGACCAGAGCGACTTTTGCAGATCCGATGGTTGCGCAATCTCGCGGCTCGTTTCTCACCCTTTCCCACGGTGGGCCTCGTCGAGGGGGGCGAAGAGGAGGCCCCGAATGCGTCCTTGGTGCGCCTCGACCTGGCCGGGACCCGTTTTCGCGTCGGGTCCTTCGAGTCGAAAATTCCCCGTAGATTTTCTGCATCGCGGCGTCCCATTAATAAATTTCTAAAAGCTCAACCCGATCGAACGATTTTTTTCTTTTCGTGGGTATTAATTAATATCCTATTCCCTGATACTTTGAATTATTTCTCGCCACTTTTTCGGCGGAATTTGCCCGCGGAAAAATTGCTGCAAGGATGATATACAAATTTTGGAGCATCCTAATGGAAGGCTTTTTTGCTCATTAATATTGTATTTCCTGACACTTTCAATTACTTCTCGCCACTTTTTCGGCGGAATTTGCCTGCGGAAAAATTGTTGGAAGGATGATATACAAATTTTGGTATATACTAATGGAAGGGTTTTTTGTTTGGGTCTTGAGTGCGTGTCAGGGCCATTGAAGGCAGCATCTGCAAGGAAAGGGTTTCACTTGGTCCTTTGGGCACGAAAGACGTCGAGGGGAAGGTCGAGTCGTTTAAGTCCTGGGGGAATCCACCCTGGAAGGAATTGACGGGTCTCGGGGGAAGTCGTCGAACCTTTCTGCACCCGCGAACCATCTGTCGGCAATTTTTTCCTCTCTCTCCCTTTATTCCTTTCCCTTTTTCTTCCCCTTAATAAAGGGACCAGCGGTTCTCCGAGGGGACTGGACGTTCGTGCGGACTTTACGTATTCCTCGAGTTCTGCGATTTCACGGGGGCATTTTCCCCCACGTGGGGATAAAGGGTGGAAGGGCTCCGGTGCCGTTTCCACTCGGCCTCGTAAATTCCCTCGGGGTGTGGGGGTCCCGTTGCACCTTCCGGCTTAATTGCAGACGCAATTAAATTCCACTTCCCGTCCTGGCTTGCACATGCCCGGGTAACCCCAGGAGCAAGGTGGCAGGAGAAAAGGAGAGAGACGCATCTGTCGCGACTAAGGCTCGAGCGGAAAAGCTATGAAAAAGACCGCGAAACACCTGCCCCATCGGAAACGGGAGATGCACCGGATGCACCCGGTGCATCGGTCTCTTCCTCGGGGATGCTTATCGACCCCTTTCATCCTTTTCGTCCTCTTCCTCGGGGTTTTTTTCCCGACTCGGTTTACCGAATGGTTTGAGACTTAACGTGAATGCTTATAAGGAAGGTCCTGGAACTCATGAAATTTCAATTCCTTTCTAATTTGTTTACAGGTATTTTAAAAATGGCTTATAAAAAATGAAATTTCATGAGTTTCAGGACCTACCTTAGGGTCTCCATATTCGCGTTTTAAAGTATGAAACGATTTGTGGCACCCAGCTCGTAGAAAAGTTTCATGAACGATTCGAAATGATGAACGAAAAAAAGTGGTCCAAGTCCGAAAGAAAAAAACAAAAAGCGATTTAGGCCACTTTATAATCATCGGCGCGTATACTAGTTTATGGGGGGACCGCGCGTGCGCAGTTGATGGAAGGATACGCGATTCCGGCGGATACGGATTGGCCGATATCAGATCCCACCGGAATACCTATAGGGTCGTATTCCGGCCGGGTGGGTCCTGCAGGATCCGCGGGAGCAGGTGAGGGCCAGGTGGCGCAGGGCGCAGGGCGCAGGCGCGCACCGGGCTGCGTGCAGCAGCTGTCGCTGCTGCAACCGCTCGGACCGCTGTCCCCGCCGCGACTGCGCCGACCGCTAGGACCGCTGCAACCGCTAGGGGCGCTGCGATCGCTAAGACCACTAGGACCGCCGCGACCGCCGCGACCGTTAGTACCGCTGCGACCGCCGCAGGAGAAAGACCTCTTTCCACGGCCGAGCCTCCCTTCGCCCAGATGGCCTAGGGGCTGCAGGAAATTCAAATGCTTTGCACTTTCGAGAAGGTAAAAGAAAATATAAATGGATGTAGACGGAGATAAGGTCTAACGATGCGGGCAGTGTACTTGGTACATAGGTTATGAGCGCCTTCCTGGGCATGTCGACGCCGTTAAGGTGGTATGGTAGTGTCATATACATACGGCATACTTATACCAAAGCATTTTCGATATCCTCGGCACCTGGGACGTCTTTACCCCGTTCGGCACCGTCGGTATTACACACCTTCGGTGGCAGTTGTTCCCGAAGGTCGGCCCGCCGGATATCTTGGATCCACGTCACTCTCGAGGACGACGTGTACGTCAAAAACGAGGCAACAGGTTAGCCCGCCATCTGGCGGGCCGCGTCACCGACGCTGCTTGCCGAGTTCCGGCGCGCGCGAGCGAGCGAGCGAGAGGGACCGAGGCGCCGCGCTGGCGGCGAGAGAGAGAGGGAGACACCGAGAGCAGGTGGAGAGCGGCCCGACTCCCTTTCAAATTAGCCCGTGCACCGTAGATATACGCGTGCGGTCACGTGCTACCCTCTAATTGCGGGGGCAGGTGCTCGGGCGCTCCATTCTCGTGGATATCCATCTTCTTCACCTTTTTCTCTCTTTTTTCTTGTTTCCTTCACCCCGCGTCCCTTCGCTCGGCGTCTCCCTTAAGGCGATACGTGAAAGGGTCAGTCCAAGACTTATGTATTAATTTATATATTATTGATTAATACCCAACCCTGTGGGTCGCTCGATCTTTCTCCACGATCCGAATCTTTCCTTCTCTCAGATTCTGTATCGACATTGGCGGGCTTATGTATTATCGATACCGAAGGAGCTACTAACTTCGAGGTATCGAATCGACCTCGAGGCTCCCGCTCATGGAGATTTATTCAAAGCGCAAACGCCGAAGCATTTGGAAAATATGTGTCGGGCCACAATGAGCCTCGGTAAATTACGGGAGACGTCGCGGCGGCTCGGCCCGGGCTGAATTTAAAAAAGGAGGAAACGCGCAAAAAGGTCGAGAACGCGTTGCCACGCGGAAGCGCTAGACTCGACTCGGCAAATCGGCGATTAATCGATCGGAATCGGTCGATGCCCGACTCCGTCCCCAGGGTTGACAGAAATCATAATATCGTTAAAAGAGAATTTTTTTTTTTTTTTTTCTTAAATCGCTGATCCTCTTAAATCACGAACTTTTCCCTATCTTAATTATTTTCATAAACTCCGAGTTTAACCAGTCAGCTGTTGCGACCTCTTTAGAAAGCGTATATAAGTCACGAGTACACTCGTATAGGATTAACTGGTTAAAGGTGATATCCATATTACTTCGAAAATTGTCATGATTTTGTCTTGGATTTGGCTACTAAGAGCGCCCGACGTTTGGTCCAATTTCGCCTGCACGGTCAGAGGAATTTCGCCCGTATGTCGAAACGGCTCCGTGTTCGAAGGGTTAAAAAGCGAGCTATGACTGACAATTCCCAGTTTAGACGTTGCAGCAGGCAAAAGGGTCGAAGAGAAATGTAAC